AACCACCTGGATGCTCAGCAGCTGATTGGACGAGTGTTTTATGTTTGGGACAATGTCGCCGTCGCCCTGCACGTGCAGCACAGACGGGTATCTGCTCCTCATCACTCTTTACACACCTGAAGCACGTTGTGTTAGAAAAGCAACACTTTTGTCTTCGTTTTTTTAAATATATATTTCATATTATGAGAAGATCTCGTAGCCTGCTGTCTGCATCCACAGAGTGTATGAAAGCTTCATGCTGCAGCAGGTGAGCGATTCTCTGCAACATGCAGGCAGACGGTCGTGAGTCAGAGCTGTGGGAGCGCCACTGCTGCAGGATATGGACCCAAATCCTTTGTTTCTCTTCATATTTTAATTTTCCCTCCATGGATGGATGATCCAACAGTCTTTGCTTGAGACAGCTGAAAAAACAACACTTTAGTCCAACAGTCTGTGAAGACTGTGTCACCATCCACCTGTCAAAGAGGCCACGCCCCTAATAAGCCTTAATACAATTTAAACAGGTGTTGTTTCTGCTGTAGTTTTAACATCTATGGCAGACCTATACTTAACAAAATATTAAAATGCTTTTGACGAGGTGATTCAATTTTCAGCGGTAACGTTACCTCGCATTAATAGACCAGGGACCAGACAAACCAATTGTGTGCGAGTTAAGCCACCCATGTGACGCTACTTAGCCAATCAAATCTGTGCATTCAAGGTGATCGCAGACACAGAGGAAAGAGACGGTGAGAGGCGAATTACGATACAGGGAGTCACAAGAGGTACAACAAGTATGGCGCTTTCAAAAGCGAGAAAAGTAAACACGGAAAATAGAAGACCGACGCAGACACGATCATCCAGCGAACGCCACCGTGAGACAAAGAGCTGGAAAGTCAGGAAGCACCAAACTTTCCTCTCTTTTAATGATGGAAAAACATGGATTTGTGACCTTTTTTGGTTGCTATGACTTCACACCTGAATGAACTGAATTTGAAGCTGCAGCTGTGATGACAGCTGTCCGCTGGTTTCAGAGGAAACCTGAAGAGTTCAAAGAAGACCTGCGAGGAGACTGAACACTCCCCAACAGTGAAGGGACAGAGAGATGTTGACTTTGTTGATAAGCTGATTGAAAACTTCAGCAAACGTTTTGATAGCTTCAGCTTTGGACAGCAGCTCACCATGTAAAGACCCATCACTGATGTCAGAGGGTTCTCAGAGGAAGTCACACAGCAAACGCTGGGCCTCTTCAAATGCAGCTGGTTGATCTCCAAGCAGATGCCCTGAAAGAGCAGTTTGGGAGGACTGAACCTGCCTTTCTGGCTCCAAATGGTCTCTGAGACAGCTTTCCCACATCTGAGGAAAGTAGCACATCGTGACCATGTTCGGCTCCACATACAGCTGTGAGGC